CGACAAGGCAAGTTATGGAAGAGGGATTTTTTCATCCTATGTAGTCCATTGCACGGTCTATCCGATAATGCGATCAGATCGTTTTTACCTCGGATCTTCAGCCCGACACTGAAGGTCTTCTGAGGATCTTAGGGGTTTATATTGTTTGACGCCGTTCTCGAGCGTGTGGCTTAAGTATAAAATGAGATGCACTTTTTCGTAGATATTCAAGTGTGGACTATCCGAATCCGGTCTCAAAAGTTTGGGGTCTTATAAGATGTCAATACGTTTGATGAAGGAAGTTGTAATAATTGTGAAGATTATATATGTTTGAAAGGTGATCACGATCGTGTTTATGTTTGTACATTTATTATTACAAAATGTTTGTCAAACTTTAAACTCAACTTATATTGTTAGCGTTAACACAATCGGAAGAAAGTTGGGTAGTTAAATAGTAACAAATCGATCGTCATTATAAAGGTTTATAGGGTGTCTCAGTTAATAGCACACTACCTCAGTCAGTACAATGAGATTTAACAAGAAGTGGAAAATCATATTGTTTAAGCGATCTGAGTTTAAAGACTTAAAAAGAAAAATTCATGCATCTAACCGTAAGTCGTCATTTTAGTAAAACTTATATTTAACGGACGCGATTTGGAAATGTGGAGTCGGTTACGTATATTGAACAATATGAGTATTCTCTATTAATTTTAGTCCGATCTATGTACATATATATATACATTTTTAATCGAAAATAAAAGATATAGAAACATTTATTTATAATAGTGTTAGCTGGACTACGTAGATATTAAATTCTTTAATACTGTGGATATCCATTGGTAGGCATATACTGATTACTGTACTGCTGTACGCTGTTTGAATAAACAGAGTTCATATCACCGTTTGAATAAACACCGTTCATATCACCGTTTTGATACATATTTACACTGCTGTAGGGGGGTGGTGGATAACTACCAGTTTGATTCATTTGTCCATTTTTTTTCCCAAATTTAAAGTCGTTTGGAAATTGTAGTCGAAGAACTGGTATTGCTATGACGGCAAAGACTATAAGGAAACAATTTATTACACCAACCCCCATATTTTGAGTAACAGCTACACCCGCTGCTGGCATCAAACAACCATTCGTGTAAAAGTCAGTGCCATTGCCTGATGTTATTCCACATCCTGTTCCTAGACCGGATGGAACTGCTGAGTTTGATGACGTACAGCACGATGATGGAAGGGTGATCGTACTGGTGCCAAGCAGACTTCCTATGTTGCCATAGTTATATCCTCCTGAATTCGAAAGAGCTATACATTAATTACATCCCCATTTCATCTTGTTGAGATTCTCCAATATTTTTATGATACCTCCGTTACGCGCAAATAGTACACAAGGGAACTCCTATTTATTCTTGCTTGTCGACGTTATTTTCAGATTGTCCTGAATTGGTTTGACGCTTATAAATAGCACGCTGAAGTGGCGACGACTGTTCATCATTTTCATTTCTACGGCGACGACCATTGGAAACTGGATTACCGTCTTGACCACTTGAACCACTTGAACCACTTGAACCACTTGAACCGCTATTACTGTTACTACCACCACCATCAGTTGCAATTGTTGTACGTTGAAGAAAAAAGTACCAGTCTGTCCATATATTTTCTCCGCAACATTTGTATTTATGCTGAAGTTGATTCATTATATTTCGTGCTTGGGTACTTTTTGAAAATTGAACCTAAAAATAAGTTGAAAAAAAAAAGAGTTGAAGAGTTATTTGGGAATATATGATTAATTGCACTTACCATGTAATATTGGAAACGAGAGTCTAAATAGTTTACTGTATCATGATTAATAGCAAGAGCTGTGATCAACGACGCAATTGTAAATACGGTCAAGACAGCAGAAACTAATGCAACAATTTTGGCTAATTGTCCCCGATCTGTCAACGCCGCCAATAAGCCAAAACCACCGACAAGAAGACCAATGAGACTGATAACAATATTAAAACCACATAGACCTTCTTGTGGTTGAAACATGCCACCGTATTGTCTCACTCTATTGATAATTCCAGCAGCCACACCAAGATGAATAATTGAAAAGAAAATAATTGCTGACGTAACAATGACTGACAGCAGTCGTTCACTAGTCATTTTGACCATTGTTCACTGGTTTAGATTATAGATTCAGAAATTTCACACACTGTTGAACAAACGAAGAGAGTTTTAAATTACAAATCGTTTTCTAGAATGCAAATTTTTGAGATTCGAATTCAATGATAACATGAATCAATTAGAAGTACTCATTAACTGGTATAATAAGTTCGTAGTCAATATTCCTCGAAGAAGTTCCAAGAGGTTTAGACTTATCCTTTCCACTCTTCAAAGACGAAGAGTTCTCAGATTCACCCGATAAATTCTTATTGGAATAGGGATCCTCAAAGACTCTTAATGAAACTCCACTTAGTGGAATTTTCTGATTTTTTTGCATAGTCCTACGTTTCATCGATAAGGGTCAACCCCTTTTCCATATAAATAAATATATGCTGTTTATCCGCTTTTAGAATAATCACATATAAGCACCCGTACTCACTACACATAAAAAAAGGTAAAAGGCTTTTTGACGCATTTTTTACCTGTTTGAGTATCGATTCATTTTATTGCTACAAAAAAAAGAGATGTACTGGTCGACTGTAACGATTAACACGTGTTTACAATGACTTACGTGTATCTATTACGCATGAAAGGTACATCTATTGTTATATTTTCCTCGGTCTTTCGGTACAAATGATTTGGTTATCATATGAGTTAAAAATTACGCCGAACGTAATGTGGTTTCAAATTAGACTCATAAACGTCAATGATAAATTTACCACTGTAAAAATCAGACTTAAGATAATCATACCGACCACCAATACATATTCCTTTCAGGTGCCGTTAACATTGTATTGTCAAGAACGCTTTCGTAAAAGGTCTCTTCTATTTTTCTTGTTTTGTAAACTAAAAGGATCTATTTCAAAATACAAGGTCGTCGGATATTTTCTAAATAACTCAAGAACAAAAAGAGTTCGAGTTTTCAGCGTTTTGTAGAGACGACTTTACACTATCTGTTCATGTATGCGAGTGCTTGAAAATCAAATTATCAGGTAGTGTACATCATCCAACAAAATTTTAGATGTCATTATTCGATGGTCTATTGACATAGCTTAACGATATTTACCCATCGGACTAATCCGCTACCAACATTGAAAATATTAAAAATATAGTTAACTAGCTGAAGTACCGACGTTGTCCGGGAAAATTCAATTTTGCATACTTAACATAGTGGGAAACGACGGTCTTATGATTTCGTATAAGTTACCGATCTTGAATGTTCCAAAACATACTCAGATTACTTTCCCTTTTTAACTTCTTTTCTGTTTTTTCGCATTTTAAAGTTTTTTAAATATTTTTATTCTTTTCGATATGTTTTTTTGGTTTTATGGGCTTCTTTCATTTAAGAGAGACTGTGTGCTGCGAAATACAATTTGTATTGCAAAGCCGTTTGATACACAATGTTTTTGCTTTTTGCATTAAGGGCAAAAACATACAAATTCTTCTCAGTTCCAACTCTTGAACACGTTACATAAAGTTGACCGTGAGAAAAGAAAGAAGTCTCTAGGTTAATACCAGCAACCTTGAGTGATTGTCCTCGAGTTTTATTGATGAACATCGCAAAGGCAAGACGCACTGGAAATTGCAGACGCTTGAATTCAAAGGGCGTGTCAGTAGAGATGATAGGTATTCGTGGTATGACCTCATAGGTAAACATTTTGAATCGAAAAGCAGCCCTTCATTCGGAGGGGAGGGGTACTCCAAAAATCGGAGAAAATTTGCTGCGGTTTTTGGAAAACCGAGGAGAGCCGAGGAGGCCCCTCCCTCGGTCGCTCCGACCCCGTCTTGACCTTCTCTTGGACGAAAGGGTGTGTCATGCAAAGTTTGGGTGCACTGGCTCTTACAGGGACCAAATGCAGTTATCCAAGCAGTTACGTGTAATGCTGCTGTTAATCTAGTCTCAGTTTTTTATTCAAACGACTTTTGTATGAAATTTATAAAAAAAAGACAACAAACATCGCCACGAAATTCAACGAGGTCGATGACCTGTATCTCCAATCGTTTTCTAAGGTTACCACACTTAACCCATCACAGTTAGGCAGACCCCAGTGAGGCATGTCATCAGAGAACCATGGTAGCTATAGATGAGGGCATTATGTAAACTAGTAGAGAATATTCTAGTCTATCTGTAGCACTTTTTAAACATAAAGGAAGCCATCGAACAACGACGATTTTTTATTTTGAAGTGGATAGTAGTTTGTATATATCAGTTCCGCCAAACTTTGAAACTGTGGAACTTTTAATGAACAATTCAAAAACTCAAAAAATTATACGATTGTCCTTACTACTCTCCTAGTTAGTTACTAGAGACGACGAACAATAGAAGAAAGTCTATTGATCCATTATTGTTTTGGTAAATCAACAAATGAAGTTAAATATAGACTGAAAATTCTTGGTTAAAAATTATACTCTTTGAGAACAAGCTTTATTGGCCAGAA